GTGAACTCGTATCAGACAGAGATCCACGATTCACTGCTGATTTCTGGCGTTCCGTGTTCAAATCACTCGAAACGCGCTTGAAGATGTCAACATCTGATCATCCAGAGTCGGATGGTCAGACGGAACGTGCCAATCGTGTCCTTGAAGAGATACTTCGAGGATACGTACACTCCTTTAAGAGTTGGAGTGAGTTTTTGCCAATGGTAGAGTTTGCCATCAACAACTCGGTGCATGCGTCCACGACACATACACCGTTTTACGTGAATGGCTTGCGCCATCCGCGTGTACCCACCTTACTAGAGTGTAACTCTGGTTTAAGGGGGGAGGGACTCGCGCGAGCAAAAACCGATTTGGTTCACGCTCATCACGCTCTGACGAAGAAGTCATTGCGTTTGATGCCGATATCGATAACATCGATATCGAAGAAGATGATGCCAGTGAGAGTGCGGAAGCCCTCACTGAAGACAATGATCCCAGTGAGAGTGCGGAAGCCCTCACTGAAGAAAAGGTTGTTGTTGCTGCAGTGCGCTCACAGCACACTGAAGCTAACGAGTCATCAGATGAGTTCATACTGGCTCGTGAAACGGTAGTCCGTTTTGTGCAAGACTCCATCGCCGAAGCGGTGGATAAGCAAAAGCAAAACGCTGACAAGAATGGAAGGGCAAACACTCTTTTATTTAATAAAGGTGACTTAGTCCTACTGTCTACGGTTAATCTACCAAAGCATGTAGTGACTAACTTGGGTAGCAGTAAACTACTACCCAAGTACATTGGCCCATTTCGTGTATTGCACCGCCTAGGCAATGCATACACGATCGAGTTACCACGTAAGATGCGAACGCATCCCACGTTTTACGTTGGTCGGCTTAAGCCGTACCATCAGTACGCTGCTTCTTCCGATGAAGAACGCCCTTGCGCTCAAGCATCTCGCAGAGAGCCTTGTGCTCCCGATGGTGGGCATCAACAAGGGTCTGAAGAGCAGCTATCTGATCCCGAGACCGATCAACAATCCCACGAGCTACCCTTAGCTCGTCACGAAGAGATGTCAGAGCTCTCTCGTTCTCAAGCTGAGCAAAGGCAAACTCAGCTCGATGCTTCGAGGCAGTGTCCACCATCTGGAGACGCCTATTCCGCTCATGCTCGAGATCGTCGCGTAACCCTTGCGTTACGCGATCAAAGAAGCTCTCGGGAACACACCGATCCACATGATCGTGTGGAGAGCGTCTTTCCTCCTCCTCCACCTCCATTAGAGGACTCTCGCGGTGGCCAGCGCTATCTAGTTGAGCAGCTGTTGAACCACCGCGACGTGAACGGACGTCGGACGAGTTACCTCGTCCGGTGGCGCGGCTATCCCCCGTCCTGGGATTCTTGGGAGCCCCGCTCCCAATTGATGGTTGACGTACTGGGTCTGGTCGAGCAGTACGACGCGGCACATCCTGTGCCGCAGAAGGACCGCCGGAGAAAGTCTTCCCGGCACGGTCGTAAAGGGATTTCAGGTTGTCAATCCCTTCGTACATCTCAGTAGAGACACGTACGCGCCACCACGGGCTGGTAAGGAGGTAAGCCTCCTTAGGTGCTCGTGCAGAGTTGTTCACACAACATGGGCACGAGTCTCCCCAAGAGAGGCAGGGTAATCCTTTCTCCCTAGACAGACGATGCAGCTTGTAGCGTGCACCTGTGGGGGTTCGCTTTTCAAACTTATCACGAGCTTTGATAAGTTTGTCGTTCCAAGCGTCACGACCTACATCCTCGAGGTTATGGATGTAGGCGTTCCACGCCTGAAGTAGTGAGGGACCATCACGTTTGTGATTCCCACTGTACCATCGATGTCTGAAGAAAGCATCGATGAAGAACTCATGTTCAGCGCGATAGTCTTTCGCGCTGGGGTCAAGGTGATGAATCTTTGACGAATCGAACAATCGTGTTCGATAACGATCACTCGTCGTCGCCGACAAGTGATCCATGACTGATTTTGGAGGCATCCATGCCTTCTTCTCGGAAGCGAGACGCAACACATTGCGGTCCCGCTCTTCCTGCGACGTGCCGACAGAAGTACTGGCACCTCGCTGTGAAGTGGTGTCCATTGGAGAACCGACACCACTATTAGCGCCCGAGTCTCGCGACCTCGAGCACCTTCGCTTCGGCGATGGTTCATCTGATTCATCAGATGAACCAAAGATGCTGCGACGCAAAGCATCGTCCATGCCACGCTTTGCAGGCGGCTTAGATTCAATCGCCGTCGATACGGATCCGTCATCCGTATCAGGAGAGTACGAGACACCGAGCTCGTACTCTGTGAAGACACGAGTGTCTTCATGACCAGCGCCTGCGTCACCAAGTGACACAGGCTGGGTCTCTTCAGCAACCGATGGGACATCAGTTGCTGTTGTTTCTGCTTCGGCGTCCGCACAGAGACGTGCAGACGCGCTCTCGGCGGCCTTGCTCGCGCATCGCATGGGCTTGTTTACCATGCGATGAAATGTTGGAAAGTGGACGCGGACCAACAAGTGCAAACCCTGTCCCAAATGATTTGGGACGAGTATCCATTTAGTCAATCAGTCACTAAAGTGACTGATGGTTAAGGGGGGTGATGTAACGGGGTGAATCGTTACATAACAATTTATAAGAAATTGTTAATAGAATATAACTATAAGAGTTATATTCTCAGAATATTGTCATAAGGACAAATATTCTGTAGCACTTACAAGTAGTTCCTAATTGGTTGATATAGGCCATTATATCAACCAACGAAGACGCGCCACGACAGACGCACGCAATGAGTGGTGAGCAGATAATTGATTTACACATTTGTATTTAGACATAGTTAGATGAAGATAAATAGTGATTTATTGCAGACATTAACTATTATAAATAATGTTCTACTTTTTACTCTAACCAAGTACTCGCTTCTTCTTACCGTCTTCCTCTGCACGTACGAGTGCACGTGAAGTTACGAGGCACCGCCTTATTCTGTTATCAGAATAAGTAGCTTGTACTGTCACCAGTACAAGCTTCAGGGTGCCCCGTTACAGATAGCATACCACACCAGTAAAGTCTCATATCTGCAGTATCCTGAGTGACGTGTGTGAAACAAGGATGTTGTATGTATCATGTATATGCTCCTGTCGAGTACTTTTCCTGTGAATTATGGGTGATAAAGCCATGGCTAAACGAGTGCTTCACCAGATTGGGACGCTCCAGTAGTTGTGTGAGTGCGTTCGACGGGCTGTGCAAGGGGTGAGTGGGACCACGCACACTGCACGCGCCATTTTTGCGGCGACCGTGCGCTCAAGAGAAATAAGCGCTCGCATTGCATGAGAATATCGAATCAAGGGGACACATGCAGTGCTGTTTTACAAGCAGCATAGCATGGTAATTATGATGGTGCGCCAACGTAACCACTGGCCATGATCGAAAGCCGAGTTTGTCGTCCAGGCTTAGGCACCAACGTGTAAGTAGTAGTGTTAATCTCTTTATTATACACGATCTTCTCTTCCTCTACTTTTTTTAGGTTTATACAGTGTTATCAAGAGCAATGAGCTACAGCTAGTTTAGTAACGTGGAAATAGATCCTCGCTTGTGGGTCTCGGTCGGAAGGGTGTCATTCGCTGCGGTCGCCATCGTGACAAATGGCAGCGTATCAGACACATCACCCAGGTAAAACTTCCTTTGCAGCGACCTTAGTGTGTGTAAGGACAACAGAGCTCGCAAGGCGGAGAAACGTTGTCCTATTGTGCCCCAATTGCGTGCAGGAGCGGCAAATGTAAGTCGCTCCTTGTTTCGAGTCCCCTGAACTCGCGAGTCTTCTTTTTGCTGGCGTTCAGCTTGCTTATAGTACGCTGGTGGGTCGATAGATACTGAACGGGCTCGTGTAGTGACAACTACTTCAATCGCCTTCCCTATGTAGCTCTGCTGAATAATCTTCACAAGGCAGGACGGATGGAAAGCAGACGCTACATCAATTGTAGACCCAACAGCAGTGAGGCGACGGCACGGCGATCCCATTTTAGCAAAGGTTGAACACGAGCATTTTATAGCTTGAAGTTCGGCCCGCCTATATTGAAACATCCTTGTTTTGTTGCGAATGAAACAGCAGGCAACGATCGAGAAACTTCATAGTTGCCCGCGGCAGTCTGCTCGGATTCCAAAGCGCTCACGCATGAGGAGTAATTATAAGCTTTTGCACAAGCAGCAATAAGTCACTGGTACCGAGATTAAATGCATAAACATCTTACGTAACGACAAACTCACACCCACGACATCCCATCTCAACCTCGACCGTGCTTCTCTCGTCGCCATATTGCTGTTTACGCAAAGTAGGACACTGTCACTAATGGCGTATCCTGACGCATGACCAGTAGTACCTCACACATCCACAATGATTTTTTGTCAGGTCAATGAATTGGAGCGCAGGATACAGCTCAAAAACACGTGCAGTTGTTTACTGGACGAGACCAGAGAGGAGAGGTACTCCTTTTAAGGAGAATGTTTTTACATCGTCCCGCAAAGTAGAGCTCTGACGCTGAGTCAACGACCCGGGTCCGACCTAAGCCCAGGACCTGGACCAGTGGGACCAGGACGACCCGTTGGGTCCATTATTGTGGGTGTGCCACATTATTTACCATCGCTCACCTTTGCATCAAGACACAAATTGGGACGAAAATAGCGATCCCTACTTTTCCACGTGATTGCAATAGTTGATCTCGCGAAATGGTCCAGTACCAAAAGTAACGCAAAGGTTCCCCAAGCCACATCACCACATCCCACCAGCGCCGCCAACTCCAAGCGAGTCACAAACTCTTCCCTTCAATTGGCTAATTTCTGCCACTTCTTCCATCTCTGATTCGTCGAAACGATCTCAACCAACCACGAACCAGAAGACTGGACGGAACGACCCCATCAGGCGGCGGGAGGGGGGATACTAAAGTCCATACACTTCCGACTTGCCATTTGCAAAAGACGACGCGGAGCCAACGGCCATCAGCTTTCGACCGCAGTTAATGGAGGGACTTGGCGTCGTGTACGAGCAAGAAGAGCCGACAGCCGTCGAGACGTCGCAGACAGAAGCTTCCAGTCACGAGGTCCGAGACGATGGGGACAATGACGAGGACGACGAGGAGGTCCGAGCGCTCTCGAGTAATCCGGACGATTTGGATGGACAACAGGAGGCACGAGGAGCAGCTCCCAATCAGCAACAACAGCAGCAGCAGTTCCAGCAACAGCAGTCAAGGGACTATGGGGACTATGGACAGAGCAGTGGGCAGCACCCGCAGCAGCAGATGGAGCCGCACGGCGGCTACGACCGGAACGGCAGCGGACCGCAGCCAGGCAAGCTCTTTATTGGAGGCGTCTCGTGGGAGACGACGGAAGACACGCTGCGGCAGCACTTTGGCAAGTACGGCGTGCTTACGGACGCAGCTTTGATGAAGGACAAGTACACGGGGCAGCCCCGGGGCTTTGGCTTTGTGACGTTTGCCGATACTTTAGGTAGATTGATGGACGACGTAGTCTCTGCTTGTCTCTTTATTTTTTTGGTGTTGTTGCTGTTTTTCGAGGACTAACGTTGTACTGGTTGCGGTTGTTTTGGTGGGTGTGGTAGCTATTGATCGGGTGTTGGAGGAGACGCATACGCTGGACGGGCGGTCGGTTGAAGTGAAGCGTGCGATTCCAAGGGAGAAGACGGCACCGGGCGCTAGGTTAGTAACTTGCCGTGACGCGTGCAGTCGAGAGACGCGCTGGTTGCGAGGCTGGCTGCTGTGTATTATTACTATGTATTTGTACTGGAAGGAAGTAAAGCAAAGCAGGAAGGAAGAGGGGCAGGAAGAGAGAGAGAGAGAGAGAGAGAGAGAAAGAGAAAGAGAGAGAGAGAGAGAGACACACACAGAAAGAGAAAAGAGAGACAGACAGAGAAAGAGAGGCAAGCAGCAGGACAAGAAGGAGAAGAAGAAGCAGAACAAATCCACTCAACACGATCAAATGGCGTTTGCTCGCTCCTTTCTGGCCTTCTCGCGCGACGCTCGCTCGCTCGCTCTCTCTGTCCAGCCCTTCTCCGTCCGCTCCCGTGAGAGGGGCTTTGGCATAGTGTTGCATGTGGTCGAGCTCGACCCAGCCAGCAGGCCGCGTGATCCTGGCTTGAGCTTGACACCCAGTCTAACTTGTAGTATCTCTTGTGTACTGTAGCGAGTTCCGTGGCGGTGGTGGCGGCGGCGGACGCGGAGGATTCAATAGTGGCGGCTTTACGGAGCAAAAAAAAATTTTCGTGGGTGGCCTAGCCCCCACTGTGACCGAGCAGGACTTCCGCCACTACTTCGAGGAGTTTGGGAAGACTACGGATGCTGTGGTGATGATCGACCGCGACACTCAGCGCTCTCGCGGGTTCGGCTTTATCACTTTCGAAGAAGAGGTGCGTGAAGAGTGAGATTGCAGCTTGCATCTGGATGCCGCTCACGTTGTTTGTTTATTTGCTTGTCTTTGCGTAGTCGTCGGTAGCAGAAGTGATCAGTAAGAGCCATGAAATTCATGGCAAGACTGTTGAGATCAAGCGAGCGGAGCCTAAGGAAGCTCGTAGCGGAGGTGGCGGTAGCAGCTACGGAGGTGGAGGTGGTCGCGGTCGCGGCGGTGGTGGTGGTGGTGGCTGGAGAGGTGGAGGTCGAGGTGGTGGTGGAGGTGGCAGCAGCAGTGGTGGCTATGGCGGTGGTGGCTATGCCAGTGGCGGTGGTGGCTATAGCGGAGCTGGCTATGGTGGTGGTGGCTATGGCGGCGGTGGCTATGGTGGTGGTGGCTATGGTGGTGGCGGTTATGGTGCTGCTGCTGCCTACGGAGCTGGCGGGTATGGAGCTGGTGGGTATGCAGGATATCCGCAGGCGTATCCTGGCTACGGCTACGGCACGTATCCGGGTGGTCGTGGTGGCTACGGTGGCTATGGTGGCTATGGAGGCTACGGTGGCTATGGTGAAGGTGGTGGTGCTGCGGCTGGAGGTGCCGACGTCGATGGTGGCGAAAGTGGCGCTACTGCAGAAGGGGGAGGATTTGGTGGAGACGGAGCTGCTCAGGGAGGACCTCCTGCTGGCTACGGATATGGTGGTGGCTATCGTCAAGGAGGAGGCCCCGGTGGAGGTCAAGGGGGCTCTGGTGGACGGTCGGACCGATACCGCCCGTACTAAGCTACATGTTTACGCAGTGACAAGGTGCAGGCAGAGGTCCGAATCGAGCTCGGACGTTGATGTGCATGTCACGTTGCACCCACTCCAGATCTTACTGTAGCTATCAATCAATACTCTTTTTCACCCTTAGTTTGTGGCGACATCTACACTTCATTCACCCTGTGCTAACCAACTAATTAGCCGTGCTTCGTATTGCGAACGTGTTGAAGATGCCAGGTCTGCCATTGCTCGCGATAGCTTGGTTCTCGAAACGGATTCAGGATCACAGCACAATGAATTGCTGTCATCTTTGACACTCTCTTGAACGGCATTGAGGCGAGCTTCCAAGGCTGTCACGAGCTCTTGTTCGCCGCTTACCGACTGAAGCGAATCTGATGCTCTTGACTGCAGGACTTGAAACATGTCGGCAAAGTTTTCCATGTGGGGGCCCATTATCACATGGCAACTGTAGGACATGCAATCGTGTCAGTCTTCAAGTTGCGGGATACGTAATGAGTGACGTCTCGAGTTTCACTTACCCTGCTCGAAGCGGCTCAATTGGGTTGTGACCACCGCGCTTTACAAAGGTACCTAATGACAAGTGCTCGTGACTTAGAACGTTCATCGAGTACAAGCGATCCCACCCAGCAAGTCCTACCTCCCATCACTGCAGTCGAAACGACATCGAAAAACATGTTGGATTCCCCCTGCGTGAGAAGCAAGCAGGTGAGTCACCATGACCATCATCGCAGAAAAGAGTGTACATCAAAACGCTCACCATCGTGTCAACGATGAAAATATCCACCGCAGATGGTGGTGAGTTATCACGGGAGTGCAGAGCAACAGTGAGTTCGGGAAACTGACAAGCATGGGAATCAGGACCAGAACCACGGTTAGGATTCTATACTCAGAAGCAAGAAGGACCGCGCAAGAACGTACCCTGTGACGAAGTTGGTCCACGATCGTAGATGTCCTGGTTGGGTGGCGTGGGATGATCACCGTCAAGGGTTGTTGATCGGTGCGGAATCGCCTCGACAGTTTTGCGTGGACATTTGCCATCATTACCTCCTCGTTTCCGTGAGTGCTAACAGCAACCCATGTTGGTCGCAACCCAATCGCACGCTTCAACGCAGCCTTCGCATTTGGATTGCCCGGGAGATGTGGAGATGCTGCATTTTAAAAACGGTTACGCAGGGTGAGCACCGGTTGTACAGGCAACTCGCGCAAATCTCGTACCAAACTTGAGGTTTACCATGGCGTTGGCACCTCTTCCTCCTAGATGCTCGAAGCGTTTTCGATTCTGTAATCATGATCGTGTGAGTGTAAGCAAGACATGCGCAAACGAACAGTAATAATGTGACTCGGCGCACGCACCTGCTCGTCTTGGCAAAGCACCAACGAGAATTTGTTGACAACGCTTTTTGCAAGCTCACGCAGCCCCGGCAGTTGCCACATACGAAATGACCGAGCAGACATTCGTCCATTTAGAAGACCAGTGCGGACACCTCGTCGGGCAGCTTCACTGATCAGCGTTGGCCAAATCTCCGACTCGATCCAAATACCTACACTGCGATGCAGTATAAGAAAGCAGAAAGCTCAACCAAAGACTTTGAGAAGTGCCTACTCGGGTTGCCAGACATCGTAGAATCGCTGGACACATGACAAGTGGTCAAGAGGAGCTAAGACGCACGTGACGTTTGGATTCTATTGACAATTGTAATAGCCAAGCAAGAAAACGTCAGAATTTTGCATCCACAAGTCCAAAAGCACGTAAACAAACGAAGAGAGAGAGAGTGTGGTCGTCTACCTCTTTTATCCGGTCCGTGACTACTTGTCGAGCTGCAATTGTGGACGTCGACAGCAACACCCGCACTTGTTTCTTCTCTTGATAAGCTGGTGAAGCCAGGACATGGCTCGAAACTTTCGTGCTTAGTGCCAGCTCAACAAGTGGTAAAGCCGATAGGGACTCTCCCACGGATGCTCCATGAATCCACAGCGTGAAGCACTGGTTCCGATTGATATCCTCTTCTGCTGATTTTTCTCCTCCCTTGTGCCAAAGAGCTACAGTCAGAACAACAACAACAACAACCTGAGCGTCCAGTCTTTTTCATGATCTTGATCTGGTTATGACTCGAAAATAAAGTATCTACCTGGTGGAGCACTATACCCAAAGCGCTCAGCGGTGACAGACCGAGGAATGAGGCGTCGCATGTCTTTTTGATGCACAAACCACGACACGAGCGGCATAGCCGTTGTCCATAGACTGTGATATACAGCGAGTAAAGTACTGGACATCTCGTGCTGGTCGAATGTACTGGTTGGTGATGGCTACACGATTACGACAATGGCTAGATCGCAGCTAGTCAGTGTGGATAATTACTGCGGTCTCAAACACAGGGTAGTCAGTCTCTCGTGTGTTTGGTTTAGACCATATTAAATTGTACAGTTTGACACGCTGTCATTGCTATTTCGTCTGTAAGTTGGTGGGCCAGAATTAGGTTTCGTCGACATCAATCATTCGGTCTTGGGTTTAACTGGGTGATTTGGAAATATTCTACCATGCTGCTTGGCTTGATTTTAGCCAACATTTGTGCAATTTCACTTGATGTAGTGTGTGCTGAGTTTGCCGTGATTTATGGTTCAAAAGAGAACGAAAGGCTAGACGGCGGCTGTGGTAAGAATGGGACTTTTGCAGAGCAAAACTGTAACGGGGCACTGGAGCAACACACTGGACAACTAGTTTGGAATTACTCTCATCAACAGCAGCGTGAGAAATGCCTTGCGACCTCTGTAGTTAGGCAGAGGAAGGAAAAGCAACTAGGAACTGACTAGTTGCTGGTAAAAATAAAACCCGTTTTGAATATAAGTAAGTCCTGATCGTTAACCTCTGTTTTAGCCCAAATTGATTCTTTTTATCCAGAAAAATGCACGCGAAAGTCGAGCTTACCACTCATTGCGCGCGTCCATCGTTGATTGGACCACTAGAGCCAGCTGACATGATGACCCGTATCAACCAATCGGTGAGCGTTTCTAAATATCACACTAAATGGCAATGTACGAACATCATCAACCTTTATGATAATATACTCATTATCAAGTATCAAAGTTAATTACATGTAATAGGCTCACCCCGCTACGAATCCGGCATTGACATCCATTCCTCAAAGGGATGGTCTCCATAACAACTTGGTTGAATGTACTATGTATAGCGTACTCGACTTGGTCGATGAGTGTAATCATGTGCTCATGCGGACGATTGGTATTCTGCTTACAGCAGTGAGCACTCCGAGTGGCATACTATGGGAATGGCTGGTGATGCCCCAAGGGCTGCCTAATGCTCCGGCTAAATTTTATCGTCTGGTGGCGCACCTTTTACGCCCACATCGGATTACGCACTGACCTACTTCGATGACAGTTTCATCCATAGCCGTGGCGAGCAAGGTCAGGCAGATGTTGACAATCACATTGGTCATTTGTGAGCTGTGCTTGTAACGGGGCACCCTGAAGCTTGTACTGTCACCAGTACAAGCTACTTATTCTGATAACGGAATAAGGCGGTGCCTCGTAACTTCACGTACACTCGTACGTGCAGAGGAAGACGGTAAGAAGAAGCGAGTACTCGGTTAGAGTAAAAAGTAGAACTGTATTTATAATAGTTAATGTCTGCAATAAATCACTATTTATCTTCATCTAACTATGTCTAAATACAAATGTGTAAATCAGTTATCTGCTCACCACTCATTGCGTGCGTCTGTCGTGGCGCGTCTTCGTTGGTTGATATAATGGCCTATATCAACCAATTAGGGACTACTTGGAAGTGCTACAGAATATTGTCCTTATGACAATATTCTGAGAATATAACTCTTATAGTTATATTCTATTAACAATTTCTTATAAATTGTTATGTAACGATTCACCCCGTTACATCACCCCCCTTAACCATCAGTCACTTTAGTGACTGATTGACTAAATGGATACTCGTCCCAAATCATTTGGGACGGGGTTTGCACTTGTTGGTCCGCGTCCACTTTCCAACATCTCATCGCATGGTAAACAAGCCCATGCGATGCGCGAGCAAGGCCGCCGAGAGCGCGTCTGCACGTCTCTGTGCGGACGCCGAAGCAGAAACTACAGCAACTGATGTCCCATCGGTTGCTGAATCGACTCAGCCTGTATCACCTGGTGATGCAGGCGCTGGTCATGAAGACACTCGTGTCTTCACAGAGTACGATCTCGGTGTCTCGTACTCTCCTGATACGGATGACGGATCCGTATCGACGGCAATTGAATCCAAGCCGCCTGCCAAGCGTGGCATGGACGATGCTTTGCGTCGCAGCATCTTTGGTTCATCTGATGAGTCAGATGAACCATCGCCGAAGCGAAGGCGCTCGAGGTCGCGAGACTCGGGCGCTAATAGTGGTGTCGTTTCTCCAATGGACACCACTCCACAGCGAGGTGCCAGTACTTCTGTCGGCACGTCGCAGGAAGAGCGGGACCGCAATGTCTTGCGTCTCGCTCCAGAAAAGAAGGCATGGATGCCTCCTAAATCCGTCATGGATCACTTGTCGGCGACGACGAGTGATCACTATCGAACACGATTGTTCGATTCGTCAAGGATCCATCACCTTGACCCCAGCGCGAAAAACTATCGCGCTGAACATGAATTCTTCATCGATGTATTCTTTAGACATCGATGGTACAGTGGGAATCACAAACGTGATGGTCCCTCACTACTTCAGGCGTGGAACGCCTACATCCATAATCTCGAGGATGTAGGTCGTGACGCTTGGAACGACAAACTTATCAAAGCTCGTGATAAGTTTGAAAAGCGAACCCCGACAGGTGCACGCTACAAGCTGCATCGTCCGTCAAGGGAGAAAGGATTACCCTGCCTCTCTTGGGGAGACTCGTGCCCATGTTGTGTGAACAACTCTGCACGAGCACCTAAGGAGGCTTACCTCCTTACCAGCCCGTGGTGGCGCGTACGTGTCTCTACTGAGATGTACGAAGGGATTGACAACCTGAAATCCCTTTACGACCGTGCCGGGAAGACTTTCTCCGGCGGTCCTTCTGCGGCACAGGATGTGTCGCGTCGTACTGCTCGACCAGACCCAGTACGTCAACCATCAATTGGGAGCGGGGCTCCCAAGAATCCCAGGACGGGGGATAGCCGCGCCACCGGACGAGGTAACTCGTCCGACGTCCGTTCACGTCGCGGTGGTTCAACAGCTGCTCTACTAGATAGCGCTGGCCACCGCGAGAGTCCTCTAATGGAGGTGGAGGAGGAGGAAAGACGCTCTCCACACGATCATGTGGATCGGTGTGTTCCCGAGAGCTTCTTTGATCGCGTAACGCAAGGGTTACGCGACGATCTCGAGCATGAGCGGAATAGGCGTCTCCAGATGGTGGACACTGCCTCGAAGCATCGAGCTGAGTTTGCCTTTGCTCAGCTTGAGAACGAGAGATCTCTGACATCTCTTCGTGACGAGCTAAGGGTAGCTCGTGGGATTGTTGATCGGTCTCGGGCTGAGATAACTGCTCTTCAGACCCTTGTTGATGCCCACCATCGGGAGCACAAGGCTCTCTGCGAGATGCTTGAGCGCAAGGGCGTTCTTCATCGGAAGAAGCAGCGTACTGATGGTACGGCTTAAGCCGACCAACGTAAAACGTGGGATGCGTTCGCATCTTACGTGGTAACTCGATCGTGTATGCATTGCCTAGGCGGTGCAATACACGAAATGGGCCAATGTACTTGGGTAGTAGTTTACTGCTACCCAAGTTAGTCACTACATGTTTTGGTAGATTAACCGTAGACAGTAGGACTAAGTCACCTTTATTAAATAAAAGAGTGTTTGCCCTTCCATTCTTGTCAGCGTTTTGCTTTTGCTTATCCACCGCTTCGGCGATGGAGTCTTGCACAAAACGGACTACCGTTTCACGAGCCAGTATGAACTCATCTGATGACTCGTTAGCTTCAGTGTGCTGTGAGCGCACTGCAGCGACAACAACCTTTTCTTCAGTGAGGGCTTCCGCACTCTCACTGGGATCATTGTCTTCAGTGAGGGCTTCCGCACTCTCACTGGCATCATCTTCTTCGATATCGATGTTATCGATATCGGCATCAAACGCAATGACTTCTTCGTCAGAGCGTGATGAGCGTGAACCAAATCGGTTTTTGCTCGCGCGAGTCCCTCCCCCCTTAAACCAGAGTTACACTCTAGTAAGGTGGGTACACGCGGATGGCGCAAGCCATTCACGTAAAACGGTGTATGTGTCGTGGACGCATGCACCGAGTTGTTGATGGCAAACTCTACCATCGGCAAAAACTCACTCCAACTCTTAAAGTAGTGTACGTATCCTCGAAGTATCTCTTCAAGGACACGATTGGCACGTTCCGTCTGACCATCTGACTCTGGATGATCAGATGTCGACATCTTCAAGCGCGTTCCGAGTGATTTGAACACGGAACGCCAGAAATCAGCAGTGAATCGTGGATCTCTGTCTGATACGAGTTCACGGGGCAACCCATGAAGTCGGAAGATGGTGTCAATAAAGACACAAGCACAGCCACTTGCCGTGATTGTCTCTGGTACAGCCACAAGGTGTACCATTTTGCTGAGTATGTCAACAAATACGAGAATACCCGTATTCCCGCGTGCGTCTTTGGGTAACCCGAAGACGAAATCCATTGAGATGGATTCCCAGCACTCAGCCGGAACCGGTAGAGGCTGTAAAGGTGCACGCAGTGAAGGCCTTGACTTCACTCGTTGGCAGACTTCGCATGCGCGAACATACTTTCGCACAAACTGATACTGGCGGGGCCAGTAAAAGTCTCGACTTACCGTGAGATATGTTTTCTCTCGGCCACGATGTCCTCCTATAGGAGCATCGTGATACTCGAACATGATCCGCAAACGCAGATCAGTGTCATCTGGAATGACAACACGTGGTGTGTCACCAGAAACGGCTGTATAGTGCAGTAAACCGTTACGAGTAGTGTATCGATCTGATGCAGATCGATACGCAGACGACAATCGTTTCAACGATTCTCGAGATGGTTGGGAGAGATGTGACAACAACTTCACTATCTCACCATCTTGGGCGTATGCCCGCCTCACATCATCATACAACGTTGTAGATGGAACTGAGGACGTCATAACCGCAACAGTGACTGTCTCACTGTTGGGTTTCGCGACTGTTTCAAAGTCGGGACGACGTGAGAGTGCATCAGCGACGACATTAAGTCG